TATATTCCATTATTGTGCAACCCCAAGGTTTCGTCTGGCATCTGAGAAATGTTTTAGAGGGTGATTGCTTTCCTACTATTTATTTCTTGTTAATTATGTAATTTCGAAATTTCGTTTTTATGTAGTTCCAAGAGATGGAGTATGTGAGCCCTGAAGGCCTTCGCTTAGATGGTCGCCGCCCCATGGAAGTATTTGTCTATCTCTGTTTTTTCTTTTGTATTTAATTATCATTATCATAATGCTTTATATCTTCCTGTCTATCTTTATGCCGCAGTGTTGTAATCTCATCCTGTCTATCTTTATATTTACGTGTTAAGTCTGGTTTTGGTCGGGTGTTATAGCTTCATAATTTTGTTTTAAGCTGGGGTCTATAACTTCATAGGTCTTAGTGGTTCTCTTTTTCTGCTTTTTGTACTTCTTTTGTTTCTCTGTTAATGCAAATCGTTTCTCAAAAAAAAATAAAAAATCATAATGCTTCATTTAATTTTGTGAATTAAATAGTTTATTCTTTTCTTCTTTGATCCCAGATGAGACAAATTCGTGCAGATATTGGTGTTGTGGCCAAAGCTGACGGGTTCTAATTACTAAACCCTTGTAATTTTTTCTTTTCATTTTTTTTACACATTGGCTTTGATTTTGTTTTAAATTCATCTTGCACATCAAATCTTCAGTTCTGCTTTGTTTGAGATGGGTAACACCAAAGTCATTGCTGCAGTGTATGGCCCTAGAGAGGTTAGTTAACTCTTTTTTTTCTTCATTAACACCTAAGTCAAATGCGGTACTCATCAGCGTTTCGAAATTTTTGTCTAATTTTCAAGTTAAATATTCATTCAAGCTGTTTAAAAAATTACTTTGTTCTTAGGTCCAAAATAGGAGCCAACAATTGAATGACAGCGCACTGGTAATAACTCATCTAAATCTTTGTGTATCAAACTTATATGTGTTGTGTTTAATATGCTAAACCTAAATCTGACAGGCATTTAATATATTTGTAAATGTAACGTCGTCTGCAATTGTTAATAACTTTAGGTGCGATGTGAGTACACCATGGCAAATTTTAGTACTGGAGATCGCATGAGAAAACCAAAGGGGGATAGGTGAGATATTAATGTTCTTTTTTATTGCCAAACATACATGCTTTGTATGATCTTCCATTCGAAATTTCACATAACAATGTTGTATCCATTACTAAGTTAAACTATATAAATAATATGCGTATCCTTGATGCTCTCAGGCGATCAACAGAGATATCTTTAGTTATTCGCCAAACCATGGAAGCATGCATTATGACACATTTAATGCCTCGGTCTCAGGTTCCGCTGTTGCATCTTGGGGAACTTTTCTTGCATGAATGTGTAGTTTGTTCTTTTCTGAGCCTTGTATCTCTTTTTTTTCAGATTGATATTTTTGTGCAAGTTCTCCAAGCAGATGGAGGTAAATTGTGATGTCTCTTTGCAGTCATAGTCCTATATGATAATGTACTTTCAGATTATATGACAAATTCATGCTGCCCTGTTTCCGTCTATGTGTACGTGCATGTTTGATCCTCTGTTATTCAATATATTTGTTGATCCAGGCATCATATTCGAATAGAATAAGTGATTGATACAGTGTTCCCAAAGTCTAATGCTAGTCACTCTTATCTGCGTATCACTTAGAATTTTAACTATTAGCAAATACTACTGGATTTGAACAGGCTGCTTCACTATTTTAATTGGAGAATGGAAGGATTTATCCTTGAGTTTGATTTTATTTGGTTTTATTTTTGGCAGGAACTAGATCTGCATGCATTAATGCTGCAAGCCTGGCCCTTGCAGATGCTGGAATTCCAATGCGTGATCTTGTTACCTCCTGTAGTGCTGGCTATCTTAATAGCACACCTCTGCTTGGTAAATGTTTTCTTTATTTGATATTTGTATTTAAGAATACTTTTCTTTGGGAGCCCTTGGAAGGCCTCTCTGTACAAGTACGATATTGTAATTTTCATATGAGCTTATTGTTGCTGGAACGACAGATTTAAACTACATAGAAGATAGTGCTGGAGGTGCTGATGTCACTTTAGGCATTATGCCAAAGTTGGACAAAGTGACTCTTCTTCAGGTTTTTATTTCATAAATGTGCTTTTCAGTTTATTCTTCCGAACCTTAAGTTGCAATTATTGTATCAGCTGATATCCAGGGTATCTCCTTTGCCTTCTGTACAAGACTTATTTGTGATGATTGTTGATGCAGATGGATGCTAAATTATCAGTGGAAACTTTTGAAAACGTAATGCAACTTGCGATTGAAGGCTGCAAGGCAGTTGCAACTTACATTCGAGAGGTAAGGACTTCTTTGCTTCATTTTTCCCCCTCCAATGAAAAGTTCTTCCTTGTCGGTTGTCATGTGGCTTCTGTATTTGGACAATGCTCATTTGATCAATGAGGCTTCATCTTCATGTTCCAGTATTGTCATGTTTATTGGAATTTTCATCTGGGTTTGTATAACAGGTATTACTAGAGAATACAAAGCAATTGGAGTATCGCCGAGGCATCTAGTTCCAAATTAAGGTATGGCAACCAACCTCATTTGTTATTTGGTATGTAAACTTGATCCAATGACAACAAATTTAACAAGTTTTAACAGCCCCTGACGCACACAATCACCTACGTATTCTGCTTAATATTTTTTTCTCTACCTGTAGGTTTCTGGCTGTTCAATGATGAAGTTTGAGGGTGGCTATATTATGCGGACAGTGTTGATGGAAGTAATCTTGGAATTGAACCCACTGAGTTGAAGTATCCCCAAGGGGAGAGCTTTGATTTTGGATTCTGAGAATGGCGACTTTTAAGTGGGGCTCGCAGTAATCTAAATTGTATAAACTATTTTTCCATCATGTTATTATATTCTTGTTGTAAATGAAGATTTTAAGTAGAAATTATAATCAAAGAAAGAAGGTCCGTTTATTTTCAGAATTTTCTTGTTTTCTAATAGCATTCGTATGGTTATAAATTTGGCTATTTTCTGTTTGTTTTTTTTTCCTCTTTTTTCTTTTCGTTACATAGCCTGCCTCTAATTGCAAATTATAGAATAAAGCTCTCATTCTATGTATTATTTTTGCGTCACTAATTAAGCTTATTCAAACAAGTGGTAGTATAATATAATCCCATTGGAGGAGACGGTGCATTGAATAGCAGTAGTAGGCACCATCTGAACCAACCAAGACAACTTTGATTTCAAGCAACTCATTCGACTAGGGAAAAGGCCAATGCCAATTTTTGTTGACAGTTTGAGGCAATTAGCTGTGGCTACTAGCTGCTCTTCTACTGAATGTAATGGCAACAAATTGATTGTGGTGCTAATAGTTTATTTAAGTCCTATCCCCGGTGTCGTTTGTATTACAAAAAAAAAGGGGTCGAAGTATAAAAGAAGGCAAGGGATTGAGAGCAACCCCCCTACTGAGATATTGTAGTAATCATAACTTGCCACTACTGAAGGACCATCTTATTACAAACGACAAACATGTTATTTTCCATTATTTGATAAGATTGTTGAATTAGCTAGTCTAATCTACAGTGTAAGTCCCAAAATACATTTTGAAAAGGATAATGCTTCCCTTCTTGCCTACTGATGTGGTTTAGTCACAATTTGACACATGTCTCTTTTGTTAAGAATAATTAAAGTGAAAAATAAAGAGAGTCTCACTATTATGCCTAATATAAGGGCCCAAATTGTATTAAAAAAACCTATACATGAAATGGACTTTAGAAACACACCCAAAAATCATTTACAACATAACAAATAGGTTTTGAACTTCCTATAATTTACAAAACTGCCATCGATTTTATTAAAACAAACCCAAGTTCAAAACCTCACAAAAAAACAAAACAATCAAAACAAAAGGGTAAAACTGGAAATAAGTATATTAAGTAAACTCAAAAATAGGTTAGTTGGCAATAGTAGGATTTTTTTTGAGTTTGTTTATAGAAATGAAATGGTATAGTGTTTATCTATAATACTAATGCTAAGAATGAGTACATAAAATATCTCAAAAATAAATGCACCTTTTAGAATAAAATAAAAAGGACAAGTGTTAGTTTGTGATTGAGCCACATCAGTAGGTAAGGAGGGGAAGTATTATCATTTTTTTAAATTCTCTCATAAAAGTTAACATAAGGTTATCCATGGGATATGTGTTACCTTTTAATGGTGGTGGTAGTATCAGTGCCAACATAAAAATTGATGTCATAACATAGAAAGATGTGATGCTATTTCTCTTATGTAGCATTAGGATTTATGTTGCAACTGATGCCCTTGATGCTTTTAGGCATCGGAAGTCAACACCCATCACGTATATGCAAGTCTCATAAACATCAGTAATTTTGTCCAGACTAATGCCATAAGTGGAATACGCATCGGACTTCGATGCTTATAACTCTTTGATGCCTATAACTAGTAAAAGGCCACGATGACGAATACCTCGGTTGGGGGTATATAGAAGCAAATTTTGGCATAGTGTAAGCCAAGCTAACCATCACATGAATGAATGGCTAGAATGAGTCAGCTAATAATTTGACAAAATGAGTAGAGCAGATAATTGTAATAATGGATCGGGTTAGCATAGCATGAGCCCAACTTGTTTAAATGGGGCACGACACGGTCCAAGCACGATTATTGGTGGGCCGTGCTAGGTACAATATGAAAGCATGGGCCTTGCCGGGATTAGAAAATAAATCCAATGGATAAGGCCGGCTCGCTACCTGCCATAGGCCGGGCTTGGCCTGAGCCCGCTTCAAGCCCGACCTAACCCACTTAATTTTGTTTTTGTTTTTGTTTTTTGGTCAAGGCCTACTTTACATAAATCATCTCTTAGCCTCCTTTTCCTCTCGATATCTACATATATGGATTGTGATTTGGTGGCTTTTCTTCCAACAAATCATATATTTTCATATTAAATAAATACTACAATAAATCCTCAATTTTTAGTCCCATATTAAATAGTCAATAAATAAATCCTCAATTTTCAGTCTCGTATTACATATATATAAGGCTTATTTAGCTACATGCCCCCTGTGCTTTGCAACTTATCTCAGATTACCACCCGGGTTTTAAAACGTCTCAAAGTACCCCCCCAACCTTTTAAAAATGGTCTCATGTTACCCTTTCCGTCAGGATTATTGACGTTCCGTTACAAGCTTTGGGCCCCACTTCGTTTTAATCTTTAACCTAGGGCTCGTCAATGGGCCGGGCCGGGCTAGCCCGGCCCAAATTTAATGGGCTTGGGCCGGGCTCTTTAACCTCTGCGAAGAAGGGCTTTTTCACTTTCAGATGAAGAGAGGAAATAGGGTATTTGGGTGAAAAGGGAGAATTTGGAGAAGGAGGCTAGGGCTTACCAAAATCTGTGGTGGGGTTCGAAATTTGGGAGAATGTAGAGAAGAAATCACGGGTTGATAAAACTCTGAGGTGGAGTTCGAAATTGGGAGATTTTGGAGTAGAAGATTAGGGTTTATGAATCTTTGAGTGGAGTTCGGATTTGGGAAAAGGGGAAGGGGGTCGCACAATTTGGGAGAAAAGGGGGAACTGGGTTGCACGATTTTGGAGGTTCAGCTGGTTGTTCTCTCTGTGAATACACACTGTATTGAAGAATAGATGGAAACATGAGAAGCAAGGCATGCCCAATGGTGTCATTGTGGGAAGTTAGCACGGATGCAGACTTCGTGGACCAGTTCAAACCCAGGGC